GTGCGCCACCAGGCTCAGTTCAATACCTCCCATTTTAAATAAGATGTTTAAATAATTCCTCCAGGTTGGCCTTTCACTTGTAATCCTGCTTTAGCCCACTGACTGCTGGCTGGGCTTACAGGCTTGTGCCACTGTCTCTGGCTTACATTTTTATTTTGAGGGGCTGGAAAGAAGGTTCGATGGTCACTTGCTGCTCTTACAGAGAACCAGTTCCTAGCATCCACATGGAGGCTCACAACCATCTGTGACTTCAGTGCCAAGGGATCTGATGCCTGCTGTGACCTCTGACAACACCAGACATGCATGCGACCCAAACACACACACACACACACACACACACACATGCACGCGCACGCACACACACACGCACAATACTCATACACATAAGATAAAATTAAAAAAAAATTTTTTTTGAGACAGGATTTTGTATTAGAACCCAGGCAGGTAAGCCCTGAACTCAAGATAATCCTCCTGCCTCAGCTTCCCAAAAGCTAAGCTCACAGGTATGAACTACTACACATGAACTTAAACCCATTTAAAAAAAGGGAACTAAACAAGCCTCCTTTCAGTCTACACACGACAAAGCACACAGTGGCTTTAAGGCACAGTAGCAGGTCCATACCATGTTTTCACAACAGGTCTCATAGATGCTTCCCTTCCTTTGGGGCACCTATTAGGGATCAGCGCCCGTGGGTCTCCCTTAGACAAGATAAAGTGGGGTCCTCAGTGTGTAGCTCTTCCAATGTCTTCCTGCCTCCTACCCACTCCACGGTGCTTGCTGAAAGCCTACTATGGCTGTAGCACAGTAGGCCATGTGAATACTGTCCTGCCTCTGGGATGCTGGATCTGACCTGTCCACAAGTAGGAAGGGGCCGATGTCCTGAGAACCTGGGACCCAGACAAGGGGCTAGTCCAGGTTACCTGCCTGGGATGTAGCTGCTGTAGACTCCCCTACATGCAGAGCCTGTGCCTCAGCCCAAAGTAATATTCTGCATCTGTTGGTCTCCTCAATTCTGGGGACCAGCCGTCCACCAGGTGAGCATGAGGCCTCCCTGTGGCGAGCCTTGCTAAAGCTCAGTGGAACTTGTGGTGCTCCAGTGTGGGAACAGCCCCGACAACAATGCCTGCTAGCTCTGGAAAAGGGACACACATCTTTGGTAGCATAAGGACTTGTGAGAATTAAGCTGTCACCATGTAAAACTGTCCCCCGTGTGCCGATAAACTCTGTGCTCAGAAGTTGGGCATATGTTCACCCCAACCAGGCCTTGTATCAACAGAGCAGGCACACAGCAGGTCACTGTGGAACTCGGGGTAGTGAGCTCTCTGTGGGTTTCCGTACGAGAACATTTGGCACTTTACTGCTATGCCTTTTAATCTGTCTCTTCTAAAGTGTCCCTCTACCACTAAGTGGCTTCCAGTGTCCATTAGCTGATCCGAAAAGGGAGAGGCTAGAGGGCAGCTGCCTGCTGCCATCCACAGACCTGGGGTCCTGAGGACTCCCACAGGTCATATAGCCTTGGTCATGGTTCCACACGGGCAGCTGGGACTGTTATATTCCTGGGTCACAATCCTCCTGTGGCCACCGACTGACCTGCATCTATTATCTGAGAACAAAACCTCTCCCCTGTGTCTGCCTGAACCCTGGAGCAGGCTCAGTGAAAATCCTCAGATGGGCGGATGTGAAGGGGGTGGGCAGTTAAGGGCTGCTGGCTCACCAGATCAGTGTGTGTGGGTAGGTACACAAGAAAAATCCCCGTGTGTCCCTGGGATGTGTTCAGCCTCTGGTGGCACCCAGGATCATACCAAACAACACTGGAAGCCCACCTAGGTTTGGAGAGACTCAGACTGTCTGAACGACCTGTCAAATCATGGAGACAAGTGTGTGAATCATGGACACACATGGCACGGCTCCTCATATGTGCCTGCTGCCACACTCCGTGGATGTCCTGGAAACCAGCACCTCCAAGGCGCTGCCCTGTGTTCACTGCAGCCTGCGCGCCCAGAAGCCTGGAGATGCCAAAGCTCTCCTTGGCAACATGCTGACGCAGAAACCCGGGCAGGCGGGCTGGGGTGGGGGTAGGGCAATGGCTCCTTCTCCAGGCGCCAGGAGGGGAGGGGTACCACCAGCCGCTGTGAGAGGAAAGTCGAGAGGGCCTTGGAGCTGAGCAGGGAAGGAGAGCCCTGAGGAGCCCTGAACACAGCCTTGGCACAAGCCCCAAACTTCATTGAGCTTTCGCACAAGTGGTGTGGTCTGCTCTTGGCTGAGTCCTTGTTGGGGCTGGGACTTTCAGGGCATTCCAGGACGGGGAGGAGGCAGCTGGTAGCAGCCCTGTCTCAGCATCTGGCTGGAGGGAGAGGTGAGAGGTGGTCACTGTTGGCACTGCCAGGGTGGGAGTGGGTGGGAGGAGTCAGAAGAGGGCATTGTCTTTCCTCGGCAAGCCTGTTTGTTTTCTACTGTCAGATATTACTGGTGGAACATGAAAGGTCAGAACCATTTGGAATCCAGTGAATTCCCAGCTTTGCTAGGGTTTGCTGTCAAGAATTTCCTTTTCTGGTGAACAACACTACTTCCTCAGGCCCATGGGGATGGGGGGGGGAGGGAGAGAAGAAGATAGGAGAGAGAGAGAGAGAGAGAGAGAGAGAGAGAGAGAGAGAGAGAGAGAGAGAGAGAGAGAACATGAGGGACGGGGGAGGGGGTAAGGGGAGAGGGTGAGAGATGGAGGATAGAGAAGAAGCAGGGAGGGAGGGAGGGAGAAAAATGAATGAGAATAAGTGTGTGTGTGTGTGTGTGTGTGTGTGTGTGTGTGTGTGTGTGTGTGGTAGCTCAGTTGCAAATCCCTCTCTTTAGGAGATGCCCTGGTAGACCTCAGCCTGGTTTCTGTAAGAGGTGAGCATGGGCCTCACTGGAATCCCCACAGGGATGGGCCTGCAAGGGGTCTAGAGATAAGAGGCCGCAGAGCTCCACTCAGTCCTCCCAAGGACCTGTCCCAAGGAGCCCCTTGCTTATACATGAGCACTGATCCTCGCTTTACAAAGCACTCCATGAGGAGTGTGCAGGCTGCATGCTATGGCTAGGGAAGGCATCCGATGAAGTTTTGAGTTCTAGTCCTGATGTGCAGAGGGAGAGGAGAGAGAGAGAGGGACAGAGAGGAGAGAGAGGGATGGGGCAGGGTGGTGGTGAACTGTAGGATGGACCGAGAGGCACTGCAAGTGGAATAAGCCACAGACAGCAGGAGCACAGAAGGGAAGCAGGACAGTGGTGGGTTAAGGCCAGGCAGGGCCAGGAAAGCCGGGGCTACTTTTTGATGACAGACTCAGAGGGAAGAGGTGGCCATGAAACTCAGGGACCAAGCATCCTGCCTATGGACCCAGGTATACTTATAGGCACAGCCTGCATGAGATGGGGCTAGGAGCTTGGTCCTGGGGGAATCTGCCATGCTTCCCAGATCCAGGCTCGAAAGGCCTGTGTGAGCAGTTTCTTGTAAGCAGGACTGTAGAGAATTATGGAGAACCTCTGTGACTGGCTGCTACAGCATGGCTGGCCAACCTTCCATCATATTGTTCGCATAAGCAACCCCAGGCACTATGCTTTGCCTGACATCTGGGTCAACCCCAAACTCTGGTCTCGGGTTGTGCCTTTCTCCTCTGATAGGATGCCATTTCTAGTTAGAACCATACATGTTGCTAGGGTGGGAACAGCTGGCAAAGTTGGATGGGCAAGAACCCCGAAGATGGCTCACTCATAGACACACATAGCCTGGGCACAAAGCAGACAGCAGGTGGCAACTGGGCCACCTAACCTACAGTTTATCATTTCACTCATTGGGAATTGTGTCAATATCTGGCACAGATCCCAGGATAACCGGATGCTGGAGGGGAGGTGAAGACAGCCCTCCCTTCCGCCTTCATGGCTGTGGATCAGGATACAGGCTCTCTCTATGTTCAGAACACTCAGGCATCCAGAGATGTGGTCAGAGCCTTCAGCCTTCCACAAATACCTTTGGGTGAACTCAAAGAATAGTCATTGCTTGTCTCAACAAGACCAGATGAAGGAAGAAGCTCATCCTTGCTATTGACCCTAGAGATCAGTGTTCCAAAGTAGAGAGGCCGGACCCTTGTCTCATAGCATGGTGGAGGTTACATTTCCACAGACTACATTGGCACCAATACCTTCCCCTAGGTATCACAGATCCAGGCATCCACAATCCTGCTCAGACTCTTAGAGGACTTTTGCTCTCCAGGTCCTGGGGCATGAGCTGTAAAGGGAGGTTCTGGGTCTTTGTTTAATGTTCCTGCCTGCTACAATAGCTCTAATGAGGAAGGCAGCTAGAGCAGACCACTATCATCTGTCCAACTATCAGGCTTCTACTACTGCTATTCCTGGGGACAGTGTAAGTAGCTTGGGCATCTAACCTTCTGTCTTAGGTGGATCTGAGCATGCAGGCTACCAGTGATGCCCGGCCAGGCCTTGCCTTCCATGTCCTCGGCACATGGCATGGGCACATCTGTTCACTGCACCGAGGCTAGGGTGAACTGGAAACCTAAACAGCAGAGCCAAGCACTACAAGGGAAATTCCAAAGTTCCATCCCTAGCTGGGCAAGGGCAGTCAGAGCCGATAAAAAAGGTGGGGGCCCTGACTGGTGAGCTCTGTGAAGCCTAGGGGTGTGGTGTTATTTATTAAGTGTCATCTAAGTCAAAATGATGTCCCTCAGACTGGAGGAGGTCATGCGAAGCTGAGGTCTTATGGGGAACCAGCAAGAGCCTGCCCATTGGGGATCACAACTTGACAGAAGTGCCCCCAAGGCCTCGTGGCATTAGTACACTCACCATGCCACACAGCACACTCTCCTGGGCACAGAACTTGGGGCATGCTTGACATGCTTGCCCCATCTCATCATGTGGCTGGGCGAGGCTGAGGACCAGTTCTGACTGAAGCCTTTGTTCACATGAGTCCACCAGCTTCCCAGGAACAAACTGTAGGAACCTAGGCTTTACTCACCGTCTGGTTATCCTCATAGAGCTTCAGGTCATAGCCACTGAGCTCCACACAGAAGATGATGGCTGTGACGCCTTCAAAGCAGTGGATCCATTTTTTGCGCTCTGACCTCTGCCCGCCCACGTCCACCATCTTGAAGGTAAGCTCCTTGAAGGTGAACTTGTTTTCCACGATGCCCGTGGTCATGTCCCGGGAGCGTAGGATGTCCTCCACCGTGGGGATATAGTCAGGCGCGGCGATGCGCTCCAGGTCATTCAGGTAGTAGGCTGCATTGTCCTCCAGGTGGTACTCACTGGAGCGGCCAAAGCAGGCCTGAGCCCCAGGGTCAGCCCAAAGCCGTCGCATGACGCCCAGCAGCTCTGGTGTAATCTCGCCCTTGCTCTCTGCTGGACCCGTCAGTGCAAAGAGCTGCACGGCGTCATAGGCACGGTCCGGGTTGTGGAAGTCGATTTTAAGGGCCGCGAGGGCCCGAATGATACGGGTCAGCGAGTCGATGGCGTTGTAGATGATGAGGGGCTTGTACTCCTTGCAGGCCTCCAGGTTGAAACCACCGCTATGGATAATCTTCATCTGCTTGACGATGGTGCTTTTGCCTGAGTTGCTGGTGCCCAGCAGGAGAAGTTTGATCTCACGGCGCTGCCGCTGGCTTTCTGAGCGCAGGTGGCGGTCAATTCTCCGGGACCGCCGAGCTGCCTCTTTCTCCTCTGAGCTTTGCCGACATCCCATGGTCCGGCAGCAGGAGGCCCCCCGATACAGCACAGGATGGGTGCCTCTCCCCCTCTTGCCAACAGACAGAATGGGCACAGGGAGGGATGCTGAGATGTGGGCTGGTGTGACACTGGCAGACAACAGAAGACAGCTGACCCAGGAGTGCTCAGCACTGGCTTGGGGGCGAGGCCGTGGCAGTGTCACACTGCAGCCCCTGCCCTAGCACCTCTTCTCCTGTGGGCATGGCGCTCAGTACAGTGGGGCAGAGACCACACCCTCCCCTCTAGTGACACTCCACCTCCCTTGTCAGCGGTGTGGCCTGATTTGCTGTAGTCATTCCCTGTAGCTGTCGGCTCGCGTCTGCCTAGGCAGTGTCTGCCCAGGCTACTGCTGTCTGGTCGCTGGTTGCTGTGGCGATGCTTCTAAGCACGGCTGGAGGGCCCAGCGCTTCCCAAGGCCCCCCTGCCTCAGGCTGCTCCGGCTCCCTGCCTTGCATCCGGCCCTTCACCTAACAAGAAAGAGAAGAGCATGAGCTACCTCCTAGGCCCACCTCGGTCTGGACAGGGGAAAGGGATCCACCACCAGGGCCTCAGCAAACAGCAGAACAGTCTGTCAACTCCCAGCCCCTTAAGTGCTTCAGGGTCAGTGCCCAACCCACAGGAAAACAAATATGCGTGGCCAATGCCTTCCACTCCATGGATCTGCTTGATGCCAGGTGCAGGATGGAGAGGAGCGGGCTGTGCAAAGCTCTTGTCTGCTGCACCCATGCTGGATTGGCTTCTTCTCTAGTGGACCCGGCTGACCTTGTCCCCTCTGAGTCTATATGTCTGACTGGAGCTCCTCGGGATGACCCCCCCCCACAGTGGGTGCCCACTACTCCACGACACCTAGGGATCAACCCCGCTCTGATTTACCGTGTAGTCCTGGTGGTGTCTCTGCCTGAAGGGAACCAGAGAAAAACTGGGTGTCTCCCAACTTTCATCCCTTTGGACACATAGGGCCATCTCTGTTGTAGGGCCAGATGTACTGAGTGTGTAGTGTATCAGGATGGAGCTCTGCTCTCCCCCTTCCCCTGCCCTTGTGTTCTACCCTCCCCCCAGTCCCTTCCAGGGGGAATTAGCAGATGGGGGTACCATAGGGTCCTGGGTGAGCAATAGCTGGGCACAGGTTTTGAGGCATGGCCAAATCAGGACAATATGGTGATAATCTGTCTAGGGAGGCAGGAGGGCATAGGGGACTCTGAGAAAACTGGGAGTTACTGAGCCTAGGCATGGCTGTTCTGCTCCCATTCTATCTAGCTTCAGGCTGAATCTTTCAGAGATCCTATCTGCCTCCCCCTTCTGGGGGGGGGGGGCTAACGAGGAACAGCTGGACTCACAGTTGGAGCCAGGGACACCTGTTGACCACTAGGGGGAGGTCACCTACTTGATACCTCTGTGAACTGCTGGGTGGCTGGGGCAGGTCTCCTCCAGCAGGGGGCTCAGTTCTGCCTCTGACTGGGAGCCCAGGGTGGCCCCCTGCCACGACACATCTCTTACTTTCTTTCCTGTGATCTGTCTTTATTTGGCTATTGTGCCACGGGTACTTTATGACTGGTCTAAAGTCTCCTTCTCTGCTAGCAGCCTCTGGGGTAGAAGGTGCAAGGCAGACAGAGCCCCTAATCTAGGCAAGAGCCTCTTTCTACCTCCACTCCTAGGTGTGCCTAGCATCTGGGACTCAACCTACCCAACCACCCACACACTCCTTATCCATCTGACTCAGACCTTTAGGAAATGGCAGTCCACTCCCCATACTGTGTCCCTCTCTGTCCTATCCACACTAGACCCAGCAACCATGTTCTGACCCAAGCCCCAGGGCCAATGGTTCTGATTTTCTTCAGTGGCCGTGGCTCTGGTCTTCAGGGTACAAATCTCACTCTTCACACAGCTTTTGGCCAGGTACCCCACTGCCTCTTGGCACCTTGGGTAATAAACTCTACATTTCTGAGCTAGTCCTTTGTGCTTGCTGATAAATGGGAGGAGCAGGGCATCTAGCACAGAGCCTGGTACTCTGCAAGTATCAGCCATCATGGTTGGCTGGGAACCATGGATGGGAACGTCATCATGGTATCTTTACCTCCGTAGCCAGAACCCAACTATTCCCCTGCCTGCGCCTCACTGCTGCCTCCACAGCTGCCCTTAGCACTGTGTGACACATACAACCCTGTGTGTCAATGCTTCCTGCCCTCTTCCCCTGGCAGAGCGCTAAGTGAGCAGCCTGCCCTGGCTCTACAGCAGAGCAGTGCTCAGTGTACAGTGGGCCCCAAGCAGGTGCTAGAGTAGAAGGAGGAAGGGAAGGTCAAAGAATGTCTCTAGTTCTTTGCAGTCTCACTGCCTGAGCAACTCTACCCGAGGCGTAGAGCTGTTCCCAGTAGTGATTAGATGTCATTTCAGACCATCCCAAGATGTCTGAGAATGGAAGCCTCAAGATGCATGTACTCAAAGAGCACATGCACACACGTGTACTGGAGCCACACTCCTGTGTGGATAAAGGTCCAGGAGCCACCTCCCAGCAGAGAGGGGCTCAGCGGTGTGTGTGTGTGTGTGTGTGTGTGTGTGTGTGTGTGTGTGTGTGTGTGTGTATCCCTGCTGTGCATTTTACTGCATCACCTACATTTCTTTTAACAAACTTTCATTAGGTAAAGGGTTTGCTAGCTAATGTCACGACATTGATAAGGGCCCGTCACTCATCACATGAGGGCTTGCCTGAGCCTCTTTTTGTGGTCTGTGAACATGGAGAGCTCAATGTGAATGGCTCCTGGTCCACAGGACCTGACAGCCCCTGCACCAACCTGAGGGAACAAAGGTGTGTACTACCTTTAGCCTGCTCTGTGTGTGTGTGGGATGTCTTTTCATTAAGGCTTTCTAGCAGTTTCTGGGGGGAGGCACCAGGGGAGAGAAATCGGGGAGGGGAATGAGGGAAAGCAATTTGAGGATCTCTGGGGGAGAGCAGTGGCGGGAGCACTGTGGAATAGCAATGGGGGAGCAATGTGGAGCGCACTGGGGGATATCACTGGGGGAGAACACTGGGGGGGAGCATTACAGGTAGCACTATGGAAGAGCACTGAGGGAGAGTACTGGGGAGCACTGTAGGGAGCACTATGAAAGAGCACTGAGGGAGAGCACTGGGGAGCACTGTAGGGAGCATTATAGGGAGTACTGTAGGGAGCACTGTAGGGAGCACTATGGAAGAGCAATGGGGAAACACTAGGGCCAACACCATTTTATGCCATTTCAGTGTGATATGTTACACCCTCCCTCCCGAGGCCTGGCTGAGGGCCTTCCTTGTTAAAACCATGTTCTTCAGTGTTTTAAAAGTCAAAGGTATAGCCAGGCCTCACCAGCCAGTTCTCCTTTATCTGGATGGTGTTAGTGGCAAAGGTCATCCAGAAAACACAGTACTGCTAAATGAGCCTCCTCAACCATTTGCTGCCATGAAAAGTAGGATCCTCAGGACAGGTTACAGTCACCATATTTTCAGCACACGGTCTAGTCTAGAGAGGTGACCCTGCTCTAGGTAGGGGACCCCAGAGGTACCATTCCTGAGTGATGGTGGGACAGTCCCCTGCCTTGTTCTAGAGCTGTATCTGAACAGAAGAGCCTGTCTACTTCCTGGCGATGTAGACCTGATCCTGCTCCTCCCAGTGTGGCTCTGGGGACCTTGTCAGGCCCTGCTTGCTCTTGGCCCCACTGTTCTCCTTGGCTACTTGTGCTTTAGGGTGTCTCCTGCTGGAACTCTGCTGCTCTTTGTAGGTCAGCTCACACTAGTGAGGTTCCAACCCTCTGTGCTGCAACTTCCACACAGTACCTGGCTGCCCTGCAGGGTCTCCTGGGGGGGGGGGCGGAGATCTCCCTAAGACTGGTGAAACCATGTGGGGCAGGACAAAGACGGACCCCTGATGGAACTGAGACAAGACAGTGGTTGTGAGCAGGCAGGGCACAAGAGCGTGGCACAGTCCTACCTACCCTTAACTCCTGCCCCGTCCTGCCTTGGTGGGCCCCTCCCCAGAGCTGGATCTTGAGAATAAAGAGAAACAGTCTAGCCTTTGGTCTCAAGTGGTGGACGAAGAAGTTTCTCTGCTTATGAACATGTGATCTGAGCTTCAGGAAATGTGTTTCACCAGCACGAGGCTGCAGGGGAACTGGGAGAGAATGGTGGGGGGCAGTGGGCTCCCAGCCTGGAGCCTTATATGTTGCTGTCTAGAAACCCAGAGTCAGGTGGTTCTTGATAAGTAGCCACTGATTGTTGGAGGGCATTGAGGGAAGAACAGAGAAACTGTGGTCAGGCAGCAAGCCTGTGTCATGGGCAAGCAACTGTCACAGTGAAGGCACAGTGGCGTCGTCCTCTGCTAGATCACCAGGGTACCAGCTTCCCAAAGCAAACAAGCTGACAACCCTACACAGAATTCTTTTAGCACCTCTGTGGGGCCTGCTCACACTTGGGCAAGTGCCAGAGAAGCGGAACCAGGGGATGATGATGGATGCAGAAGTCTAGCCATGCTCTAAATGGGACCTCAGCCTGTCCCGCCAGCTGAGGTCAGGTTCCTGTCAGCCATTTCTCCAAGTCTACCCGGGTTTTTTCTGGATCTTAAGGAACTCCTCAAATCTCAGAATGGAACCTCATGTCATTTGGCCAGAGGTAGAGGCTCAATGGGTAACCACATATTTCGATGCCTCCTGGCCCAGAAACTGTTCATGAGTTCTCAGGGTGATACCTAGGATCTACCAGCACAGTGTCCTTGAGTATGGATAGAAATAACAGAAGTACTAGGCAGAGGAGAGGCTCGTACAAAGGGTTGGAATGTGTGGGTGTGGACAAGAGAGATGAGCCACAGTCATTGTGGAACTGAAGGGAGGTCAAAGGGCCTCAGCAGAGACGAGAAAAGTACAAGGTGAAAGGGAGGGGCATGGTAGAAGAGAAGCCCAGCTGGATTCTTGGTTTTCCTTTATCAAGGAGAAATAGGAAAATGGTTTGAAGCTATGTGTGTAGATGCATGTTTGTGATAGTGACATGTATGCGCG